TGAAGCCTTCTTCACCCAAGAATGACAGTAACCACCTGGAGCACAAAGACTCTTGGGTCCAAGTCTCACTCTTCTCCCCCATAAATGGGAGTTGAAGCTTCTTTTTTTTTTCCCATTGCAATTCAAGAAAGAGTACAAATTCACTCATTCATTCATTCATTCAGTATTTAACCACTGTTGTTCTAGTCTCAAGGATACCTCAAACAGAACACCCAGCGCCTGCCCACATAGAATACTGGTGAGATTGGGGGTATACCATCCCCTCTGGTTAAGGATATAAGCAGATGAAATTCCTTATACTGCCTCTTCTGAGCCTTGCTCTTCTGTGTAAAATAAAGATAAGCCCTACTTCTTAGGATCATTATAAGGATGAAAGAGATATCTTTAAAATGGCAAAGCAGGGGCTGGCAGATGGTATAGTGAGTGGTTGGGGTGCTGGACTCCCGTGTGATGACTACTGTTTGAGGCCTGGACCTGGTGGCTTGCTTTCTCACTTTCCCTTTCTCTCTCTCTCTGTCTGGTCAAATTTAAAATAATAATAGTAACAAATAATTTTCTTTTTTTTGGAGAGGTTTTTTTGCTATAGGGCGTGTGCGCTTGCCAGAAAGACAGAGAGAGATAGAGAGACAGAAAGTGAGAAATCACCCCCCTGGGGGGATGGCCATGCCGCAGTCCCTTCTCCTCCATTCTCCTCTCGGGATCTTGGGCACGCACGCACACGTGCCCAGCATGAGTTCAAGCTACCGGGTCCAGGACTCAAACTGTGGTTGGCTACATGAGAGTCCAGCGACATAGCCATTACACTAACTGCTGGTCCCAAGTAAATAATTCTTTAAAAAAGAAATGCCAAAGCCAAGCGCTACTTCCATGGCTGCCAGCATGCCATTATTTTTATTATATTTATTCCACTCTTTGTAACATACAAAATGCTTCATATCCATTAACTCAGTCTTCATGTGGGACTGACATAGCATTTATGATTGTTCCCATTTTATAGATGAAGAAACAGACTCTAAAGGAGTAAGTGATTTATTCATAGTCAAGTAGGAAGCGACAGAAACAAGATTTCAAGCTAGACCCTTTAACTCCTACCTGTTCCACCATACCACCCTGTAGATGAACATATACTGGAGAATAGGGACCCACAGGTTAATGGAGTAGATATGGTTTGGTGGAGTGAACCAAAGAGAGTGGTTGCGGGACCAGCAGTTAGCGTAATGGCTATGTCACTGGACTCCCATGTAGTCGACTGTGGTTCGAGTCCCGGACCCAGTGGCTTAAAATTCACGCCGGGCTCATGTGCATGCATGCCCAAGATCCCAGGAGGAGAATGGAGGAGAAGAGATTGCAGCATGGCCATCCCCTCTGGGGGGGGGGTGATTTCTCGCTCTCTGTCTCTCTGTCTCTGTCTTTCCAGCAAGCGCACGCGCCCTATAGCAAAAACTTCTTCAAAAAAAAAAAAAAGAGAGAGAGAGAGTGGTTGCAGGTGAGTTATCAGATGGCCCAGAATTGACAGGCATGGTCAAGAACAGGCATCCTGGTAAGGGGCAGAACACAAGTAAGAAGGGCACTGGCCCAGCCCTTGGGAGGCAGAGGAACGGAGCTTGCAGAGATGGGACTGGCCAGCCAAGGGGGCTGAGCTGCCTGTACAGAGAGCCCAGACACCCTCTCAAGCCCAAAGCATTGGGCAGGTCAGGCTCAGAGCACAGGGGTTTCTGGGGCCATGTGCAGAATGGCAGAGCAAGCCAGATGGGAAGCCTGCACAGGGCATGCTGTCTGGATGGGGCAAGGGCATGAGAAGGCACTGTAGCAGCAGAGAGCCTGACGGGGTGAGCTGCCTCCTTTCTCTCAGCCCCTGAAGCACCAGCCAGGGCAAGAGTCAGCTGGAGCTGGGGGGCCAGCCCAAGGTCTTCATTTATTTACCTGTGTAACCTGGAGCAGCTTACCTACATTCTTTGTACATATTTCCTCATCACTAAAATGGGACTCAAGCTCCCTTCCCTGCTCACCGTGCATGGGCATAAGGCTAAAATGAAATTATGTCCACAGAAGTTCCTCATAGTTGAGAGCACCAACACCACATCCCACATGGGCCCATCCAGGCCTCTGCAGCCTCTGCCTGGCCCAATAGTTCACTCAAGGCTCCCCCTTGGCCCTCAGCCACCCTGCAGACCACATATTGGGGCCTGTCTTCTCCAGTCCTTCCTAGCTGCTTGCATTTTTCATTCTGTCGCACTCCATCTGCTTGGCCGTTTTTCTCTTCAGATGTTATTAGAAATATCCAGAGTTGTAATTGTTTAATGGTTGGCATTGCGCCTGTTTCATGGGGGGCCCACATCAAGTCTACCCTAGACTCGTGCCCCAGGTCCAGCAGAATTGACCAGGGACAGCTGTGCAGTGGAGTCTGCCTGGCATTATAAAGAGCTCTGTCCCAGGTGCATTATTAGAAAAGAAGGGGGAAAGATGGCCCCAGGCATAATTCAATTCCACATTCTCTGGTGTGTTTGTGCCGTGCAGCCCGGTGACACGCAGCTCTCCGAGGGCTCGAGTGCTACCCTGGAAGAAAACTCACACTTAACCCAGTGCCCTGTTTAGTATAATGTGGGTGGGCATAAGCCTTTCCTCTCAGGGTAGCCCTGGGGACTCAAAGGCTCAGGGACATGATTCCCTAAAGAGCCCCATGCCTCCCAGGCCCCCAAATACCCCATGAAGCCTGAACCCTTTTCATATTCAGCTGCTTCTAGACTCTCAACTTAGCTAGCTTTTGGGGAATGTGCCTCCTTTCAGGTGACCTCACTCTAATTCCTGCCCCACACATATGTCCACACAGTGTCCATAGAAATCTGGCCTTTGGCATTTTAACACCTTCAGTTCCTCAAATGCCATCCCAGCTTCCTGTTTCTTTGGGGACACCAGAAACTTCCCCTTCAGCCAGGCTTGGACTTTTCACTTCTCAGTGTTCAGGTACCTACAAGGCCCATGGAATTTGCTCATAGCCAGCTCTTCCAGTGAATTTGGGTCAGTTAGTTTAGAGAAGATCTGGAGTCTCATCCAGTGGAGAGGTTGGGCTGTTTTTCTTTTCAAGAGTCTCAGGGAGGATCTCCCAGGCAGGCAGAAGTGGCTAGTCTGATGTTCAAAAGGCTGCAGTCTCGGGACCAGCAGTTAGCGTAATGGCGATGTCGCTAGACTCCCACGTAGTTGACCGTTGTTCGAGTCCTGGACCCGGTGGCTTAAACTCATGCTGGGCGCGTGTACATGCGTGCCCAAGATCCCAAGAGAAGGGATTGCAGCGTGGCCATCCCCCCTGGGGGGTGATTTCTTGCTTTCTGTCTCTCTGTCTTGTCTCTGTCTGTCTGGGGAGCGCACGCGCTCTATAGCAAAAACCTCTCCAAAAAAGAAAAAAAAAAAAAAAAGGCTATAGTCTCTATTACTCAGAAATACTGAGGCCAGAGCTAGAGAGAAAGAAGTTCAGGGAGCAGCATTAGAGATTGAGGTGAGAAAGGCCACACCCACAGGCAGACCTGAGACAGGTCCATAAACTGATCCCACCCACACTTCTCATGTTCGTTCCTTCTCTCCACCTCTGTCATACCGGCCACTTTTGCCTCCAAATCCTGTCCAATCTCCTTGATCCATCATCAGTCACACCTGTTCCCAAGAGCCTTCCCCAACCTCTGCAGCATCTCCTTGGAAACCCACCCAGAGTTAGTATCTTGGCCCCTCAGAACTGGTAGACACGTTCCTTAGACTGTCGCCACTTTGTCTACTGACTAGGTTTCCAGGCTCTGTCCGCCAACATGTCGTCCTCTGCTGATCTCCCCTGACACTCTGGGACCAGACCAGACATGCTGTTACATCTGCACGCTGACCTGGACATGGCACAGTGCCCCATCCCCTTCCTGCCCCTGCCTGCCAGGTTTCCACTAATGCCACCCAAATTGATGCACACCTTTTAAAGCAGCCATATACGATAATAAGACAGAGAGAAAAGCATCGCTGCCACCTACTAGTTCTATGACATGGGCACATGGTGACTTCAGTTTCCATTCAGTCTGATGGAGTTATACTGAAGAATCCTTCTCTTTCAGGGTGCTTGGTAGGTCTTGAGTATATAGATTGTGGGTGAGTGTCCATTTGTGCCTAGTATAAAGCTTGTTCAGTCAGTCGTCCTCCTGTTCTGCCTCACTCCGCACCTGGCTCCTACTTGAGCAATGCTTCTGAGCCTGATTCTCCCACTCCGATGCTACCTGCTTTGTCTCCTCACCTTGAACACAGAGCCCTTGATAATGTTCTTCCCTTCGAATAGAGAGGTCAGGTATACTCTAGCAGAGTCGAGCCCCAAGGAACCTAGTACAGAGCTGCCCAAGTCCCCCCATTCCCCATGGGAAGCTGTGGTTAGCAAAGATTCTAACCAAGTGGCTTACCCCTTCTGCGCCCCAAGCTCCATGCTACCTTTGATTGGCTCCTGGAAAATGCATTTGGCTGTTTTTGTACTTCCTCATTTGCAAGTAGTGGGCCAGACTTTGGTTTCCCCAAATAGGAAAGAGGCCAAGTTCCCATCCCAGAACCCCAAGGGCCTTCCATGGCCTTGTCTCTCCCCTGGCATGGAAGGCAGGCTTGCTCTTCCACCAGTGGTAATTAGATGGGTCAACAGCCAGAGCTGAAGTTCCTCTCGAATTCTCTTTCACCAGTCCCCACCCCCTTCACCTCCATTCACCATCCACCCGCCTTTCAGTTTCCGTGGCAACACTGAGTGCTCATCCTGGAAAACTTTATCCGAAATCTGCTCTGGGCAGCTTTCCAAATCCATGCTAACCTGATTAGGTGTCTCTAGGGGCCTTGCCAGCTAATCAGATTAGGCAGCACTAATGGTAGTGAGGACTTTGAGTGGGCGCAGAGCAGTAAAACATATTGTATACTTAGTGATAATTATCCTGCCTTTTGTGTCATTGATTTATCTGCCTCCCTCCCCGTCCCCCGTCTTGTGTGTTTGGCCGTAGCGATCCGGAGGAAGGAGAATGGCTGGTACGACGAAGAACACCCTCTGGTCTTCCTCTTCTTGGGATCATCTGGAATTGGTAATTGGGAAAAGGTCGGCCAGTGGGGAAGGAGAGCTGAGGGAGTGCCTGGTCCCTGCCCAACAGCCCCAGCTGCTGTGGGCCAGGGTCAGGCGTACCACCTGTAATTAAACTCTCAGCTTCAAAAACAACTGCCTCCGAATAACAGAGCCACCAAGGAGGACTTTGTGTTTTCTGTCATCTGTCATGTTATAAACAGCTGGGCTCTGTCCCGAGCTCTAGATACTGTGGTGCAAGGCCCGACTCACCTGGAGGACCAGGCCCTGTAGGGCCCATTAGGCCTGGTCCACCGAGCTTACATCCCCAGAAGCTCCTTTTTGAAAATAACTGAAGCACCTCCACTGCCCAGCACACCAACCGTAACCAACACAGCATAGCTTTAGGAGCTGAAGAAGGCCCCTGGTGACCAGCACAATACCAGGTGCATGGCAAAATTGGTTGCAATAAAATGGATTGGATATTTTACTAGCTAGTTGACCTGGGTCATCTGAGATACTCTTACTCTATGCCTTCATAAAACCTATCTCCTCCACCATGACCTTCCACTATTGCCTTGATGAAGAATTTCATGGTTTAGTTATTCCCTCCCAATGTCTTCATGGGCCCAGCTCTCCCTTGGATATGGGATCCCAAGCAGTTACCACCACCTGACTGGGATACTAAAGAACTTGACTTCTATACTAGGCAGTGACTTTCAATGGCTTTATCATACCAAATGGCTCTGCAGAGCCACCACTTTGGTATTGTCATTCCTTTACATTACAAAGAAGCGGTATAAAGCCATGAGAGAGTCTCTTCATTCCTTTCACAACCTATTTGGCATATGGTTCCAGAGCCTGGCTGAATGTGGGTGTGAGAGAGTGCAAGGCAGTGAGCCAGGAACGAGGGCACTCCTAGGAGAGGTGAGGTGTGTGCTGGGCTTCAGAGGACAAGTTAGGTCTGGTTTAGGAATTGGCCTCCCACTCTTAAGATGCTGCTGCATAGAAAAGACCTCAGTTCTCATCCACAGGAAAATTTAGATGATATGCAGGCAATGATTCTGGTCCCAGCTTCGCCAGTAATTCCCTAGGTGTCTGGGAGAGTCGCTGACCTCTAAGCCTCAACATTCCCATCCATGAAATACATTCTTTCCAGTGTCCTTGCATTTCTGGTATTCTTTCATTCAGTAGATCCTCTGGTCTAACCCAACTCCTCTCTTTTCTTTTTTTACTAGGAAAAACAGAGCTGGCCAAGCAGACAGCCAAATATATGCACAAAGATGCCAAAAAGGTAAAGGCTGGGACCTAGGCTTAATCTGCAAGGCATGGAAATCTTCTTGCTCCTACTACACCCAAAATCCAAAACTCTTTAAATCCAGCAATAGACAATCAAAAAGATAGGCCCAGACTGGGAAGCACACTTTGGCTTTAGCCCCAACTTGGCCACAATTACACCAGGATTTGGACAAGTTATCCCACCTTTGTGCCTCAGTTTCTTCATCAGCGAAATAGGAATAATCCTAGCCCTTCCTGACTTGGGGCTCTTGGGAGAACCAAATGAGGTTCATACATACAATGTTTTCTAGCACCTTCCCTGTGCCAAGTATTGTACCAGAAATACCCATATGGCATTTATTAAGACACTCAGCGGGTAGCAGGTGGCATTGTGGTTAAAGTGCCGGATTCCCACGTGGTCTACCGCAATTTGAGTCCCGGACCTGGCTGTTTGAAAATCACAACAAATAGATATATAAATATAAATATAGATATAGATAGTTTTAAATAAACACTGAGCTGGCTCTGTAGCACAGCAGTAATGTACTGCTCAAAAGAAACCAGATTCCTGGGCCAGCTAGTGGCATAGTGGTTAAGGCAGCTGTATCCCACATTGCCAACCACACAGTTCAAAGTCCCAGACCTGGGAGCTCAAAAAACACACCAGGTTGTGTGTGTGTGTGTGTGTGTGTGTGTGTGTGTGCACGCGCGCGCTCAAAATCCCAAGAGGAGAAGGGATTGCAGTGGCCATCCTCCCTAAGGGGGTGCTTTCTCTCTCTTTTTCTCTCTGTCTCTGTTTCGGTCCAACAAACTCATGTACCTTATATTAAAATTTAAAAAAAAAAAAAAAGAGACAGAGACAGAAGCCAAATCCCAAGTGGTGACTGCAGTTCAGATTCCCAACCCAGTCAGCCTGAAACACACTGAGCACATACATGCATGCCCAAGATCCAATGGACTGGAGGGCGAACGGAAGGGGATCATGGCGTGACCTGAGCTGCAGAGATGCGTCTCTCCCTCACATGCATACTCATGTGCTCTATCATAAATAAAGAAAAAAAAATTATACTCTTCCCTGTCCCCAGGCTAGAGAAGCTTTAGAAACACACGGTTATTGCCACTGCAGTCAAGGCAGTGCTAGGCAGAGTCTTAGGATCTGTAAGAGAAAACAAGTAGGAGTAGGAGGGTGCCTTGTTGCTTCTCTCCATCCTGTCTGAGTACCTTTATTTACGTTTTTGCCATAGGGCGCTTGTGCTCACCAGAGAGAGAGAAAGAAGGAGAATGAGAAACCACTCTCTGGGGAATGGCCACACCATAATCCTTCATTCTCCTCAGATTTTGGGCATACATACACACTTACCTGGCATTATTTTCAAAACGCCAGGTCCGGTGCTTAAACCACAGTCGGCCATGTGGGAGTCCAGTGCCTTAGCCACTGAGCTCTCTGTGTGAGCTCTTAAACACAGTTTCTTAGGTCATAAGCTCAGGGCATTGACAGTGCTCCTCCCTCGATGGCTCAGAGCCCTGGATTGTCCACAGGAGGACATAGGCTGTCCCTATCCCCTACTTATTCACACTCAGGCTTTCCAAGGCCTCCTCAGTTTAACTTTTTGTGCTTTCATACAGCAAGACAGTCCTTGAGAGAATGTAGAAACATCTGAAAGAAAACCGAGCATTCTCCTCCCAGCCTACCCAGTGTCAGACTAAGATCCTCTGTCCTCCACTGGAGGTTGCCTAATACTCAGATGCTCTTCTCTAGTTTCTAGGAAAAGTCAAGCCAAGGCAGGGAGCTCTTTAGGCCTCTTCTAGCCATTGACCCAGCAGCACAGAGTCCTGGACTCCTGTTCTACCTCTTGCCTGCCCAGCCCCTTGCCACCTCCCCAAGAGCCTGGCAGCCATAGGAACAAGGTAGCATAAGCAGTGTCCTCCCTTCTGTGTAGTAACTGACCGAAGGGTCTGTCAGCCTCCCTGGCTCTAGCAGTAGCAGTGCTCTGCCTCAGCCAAACCCGGAGCAGACCCTCCAGGCAGGCAGGCAAGAGCAGTACGTGGCATGCTAATATGCTCCAACCAAAATAGCATTTTTAAGGCAATTTATCAGGTTGGCAGCGATTGAAACAATTAGCACTCTGGAAAGGGCCATAAACTAGCAGGACTATTAGGGAAGATGCAGTTACGGGCAGGAACCACCTGATTAGGGATGAAGAATTCCGAGTGGTTTAATTTTAATACTGTCAGAAAGGTTAATATTTAATTACAAATTATAATCTCCTTATCCAAGCTGTCTTAATATGTCTTCATACACCATAGAAGTGGAAGGAAAGTATCTGCTGACTTGCTGGTGTAGAAAAGAGGGAATGCTTGTTAAAAGACTGATAATGCAAGTCATTTTTTATACTTAGCTCACTTTAAATGGGAGACAGAGTTATACCAGTGTGGGGTGTCCTGAGATGTGATCATGGCATCCTTCAATACATTCCTTTCCCAGAGGGAAGTGACACCAATGCCCCTTGGAGGCAGTGCAGTACAGTGGACAGAGCACCAAGCAAACCACTCCCTGGTTCCAGTCCCTGCTCTTCTACTTTCTACTGCCCTAGGCAGGTTACTATACCCCTTGGGGTTGCTATGGTCCCACCTCAAGGTGCAGTTATCCAGTCCTGGATCTGAGGTTGCCATGAGCCTCGAGTGAGATCACAGGGAGGACAGCGAGCTCAGACATTACACGCAGCAAGTGCCTACTCCCTTGACTCGTGTGTATTCATTACCTCGTACTTCCAGAGCAGTATCCCAGCTACTGTTATTTGAGTCTATGAGAAAGGTAGCATAGATGCTAAATTAGACCCACTTTTCAGAGGAGAAAACTGAGGCCCTACAGCATTAAGAGGCTTGTCCACTGTCACTTGTTAGGGAAGGAAATAAAATCAGAATCCATTCTTTCAGCTCTCATAACCCCATTGTTCCCAGCTAAACCTATGGGTTTGTCCATACTCCACATAGGAGATGAGAAGCCCAATAAATTCATCTATATATTTTATTTTAAAATGATAGGTGGTGCTTCTATAAACTCCTATACTAGAAGGGTATACTGTCAGAAAAGTTAATGTTTAATTACAAATTATGATATCTGTGGGCCAACTCATTCTAGAATCTGTTTGACATAGACGTTTTCTGGCCAGTTGACAGGCTTGTTTGAAACCTGCCTTCAAAATCCAAGCAAGCCTTAGGCCTTGAGCTCACTAACCATTGTACCTGACACCTCCAAGACCGAGGAGTGGTACATGGAACCAGTTCTGCACAGAGTCCACTGTGAAATAGGTCTTACCAGATACAAGCTCCCTTTCATTTGCCTCCCTGAGTGACTGACAAGTTTAAAAGGTACTGGCCTGGGAGACTGGTGACTTGAATTCTAGCACTGGCTCTCTGATCCTTAGTTTCCCTGTTTGTAAGGAGACACTAAGAATTTCTGGACCTTGCTGCTTCACAAGACATCATTTGCACATTTATATAATTTCTTATTGGATCTCACCAACCTCTGTACTACTGCTTCCAAATTGAACAGCTTTGTTACTTTCATTACGAGTTTATAATCCCTGGGAAAGAATCTTACTGGTGTTCCATGAGCTCTCCTGAGGTGGGTGATGGAACCTAAACGACTTGCAGTTACAGTGGCAGCATGATGAAGGGATTAAGATCTGCTGCCTGGGTTCACGTCCCAACCCTGCCCCATTATGAGCAGTTGACTGGGACTTCTGCTTCTGCTCGTTTTCTCATCTGTAAAATGGGTTCGGTAATGATGCCTGGCTCACCGGCTTGTTATAAAAGAGCTAATAATATAAAATGTTAAACATTCTTGGCACGAAGTAAGTGATCAGTACATGTTGAGTGTCAGGTTGTTGTTGCCTCACTTTGTAGATAATCCCAAGCTAAGATCATGTGAAACCAAAGCTATTGTAGCCAAGAAAATCACACCCAGTCATTAGAAAGAACTAAAGTGAGAACCCAGGTCACTTGACCGAAGTCAGCACTGCAGTCTATACTCCCTGTATCCTGGGATGTTATTGCCATCTGGGCACAAAGCTCAGAACCCTTCAAGTGAAAACTGCCAAGAGCCCAGCTGATTAGCCTAGGGGGCAGAGCAAGGCAGAAGAGCATAATGGCTAAGAACTCAGGCTAGGAGCCAGATCGCCAGGCATGAGTGACCTTGGGGAGGTTACTTTAATCTGCGACTTAATTTTCTCATCCGTAAAGTGGAGGTGATAATAGCACTTATCTGATAGGCCCATGCATGTTCTAGCCCTTTATAGCTTGTTCCATTGCCAGGCGCATAGTAAGCTCCCAGTAAGCACCAGCTAGTATTAATCCGAGCCCCAGCTTGGGCTTCCAGCCCATAGCTACCCCCGGGCAGCACTTTCTGCTCCATGACCGTTCTCCCACCCTTACTGAATACTGCATGTCTTCGCTGAGCTGCGTGGGGAACCTCTGGAAATACTAGCTGGCTTGTGCCCTGTGCACTCTTTTTTTTTAAGAATTATTTATGGGGCCAGCAGGTAGCATAGTGGTTAAGGCACTGGACTTAGACATGGCTGACCACAGTTCGAGTGTAAGACCTGGCAGCTTGAAACTCATGCCAAGTGCCTACGTATGCATGCCCAGGACCCCAAGAGGAGAAGGGCTTGTGGCATGGCATCTCCTGGGGGTTGATTTCTCACTTTGTCTCTCTGGCAAGTGCACACACCCTATAACAAAAATCTTTGTCTTAAAAAAATTTATTTATTTAACTTTTTATTTATTTATTTTAATTTGCTATAGAGCATGTGCACTCAACAGTGAGAGAGAAGAAAAGAGAAAGCAAGCAGCCAGGTCCAGGACTTGAACTGTGATTGGCCATATGGGAGTCCAGTGCCTTAAGCACCACATCACCTGCTGGCCCCCTTCCCTGTTCACTCTTGATAGCAGCGCTTACCCCAACCATTGACTTAACTCCCCTAAGCTCTTTCCCACCTCTTTGGTGAGGTTCTCTCCTCAGGTCTCTAGTGAGGCCAGGGGTTGGGGGGCAAGAGTCTTGTGTTACACAGGAAGAAACTGGAGCTCATAGAAGGGAGCCAGCTTGTCCACCGGCACAGATAGTGGCAGAACTGGGACCAGAAGCTGAGCCCCCAGGTCAGAGCCCTTCCCACCATCCTGTACCTCAGGTATGGGATGATAAGATGGAGAAAGAACTGAAAGTGCATCACTGAGTGGATTTCCACCCAGTGGCCAAGCTGCAACATGGCCCTGGATTTAGAGAGAGCCACCTCTCTCTGCGGGTCCCAACACTCAGGAGGAGCAGCCTTCAGTGAGTGCTGAATCTTGGAAACATGCCAGGAGAGGAACAGCCCAGAGACTCTAGGCACCCTGGAGAGATGGCTTACCTGTGAATGCCTCAGCTCCTTAGACCAGATAGTTCTTCCTCAAAAGGAGGGGGGCACTCTGCCCACAATAACTCCTCAAATTACACTCCACAGAGTCTTCTCTTCCCCTAGGGCCAATCATGGCCCTCACCCCAGGGGATCACTTCCTTGGCAATCACCCCCCTATGTCCACTGTTGGAGAGAGGAGGGCTGAAACTACATTCTGGATACCTTTTCAATTAAATGAAGAGATGTGAATAAGTAAAAAGGTTGTATGCAAAGGTAGTTTCAAGTAAAACAGAGGGACATGTGCCCATAGATTAGGAAAGTTGACACTGTGCAGCATCCGGGTATTTTTTGCCACTTCTGTGTCATAACGGTCCACACTGACAGTGACCAGTTCTGTTCACGTCTTCCTGCGCTACATCTTCCTGAGCACTTGGGTGCCCCCCAAGGACAGAGTCCACGACCTGTTCACTGTTGGCACTCCAGTGCCGAGCATCCAGGATGCCCTGCAAAAATAGAGTGTGGGAATGATGGCTGGACAGATGGACTGGGTGAGGGGTGGGAAGATGATGTGGTAGGCAGGCCAGTAGAAGCCTGCCTGAAAGAAGAGACATCTCCTTTCAGAATCAGAGGGCAGGACCACAGTTTGGCTTTTCTAAGAGAGAATGAGGGAATCGTGGGAGGCAAGAAGTTAGAAAAACATCACGAGAGTGAGGCAGGAACTCCAGGCTTGGCGTGCTCAGAAAGCCCAGGGGATACTCGAGGTGCTCTGCTCCTCAGCCCTTCCCACTGCCTTCCAAATGGACTGGTGCCCACTTGCTCCCACACAGGGCTTCATCAGGCTGGACATGTCTGAGTTCCAGGAGCGACATGAGGTGAGTGAGAGTCCTCGGTGAAGCATGTCTTGGGGGGAGGCTGTCAACATGAATGCCTTTTATATGTCTGGCATTGGGCCTTTGGGTATCATGTAATTCCAGCAGCCTTGGGATTTGCCCTTGGGTGCACTTGCATGCTGCAGAATCACACCCTGTTTTGCAGAGGGTTTGCATAGAGTAGGTCTGTCTGCCCTTCCATCTTGGCAAGGTTGCTGGCATACCAGGCAGGAGACAGCTGACAGTCCTCTGAGGCAGCAATCATAATGGTGTGTGACACTGTCACCCCGAGTGTGCCCAAACTGGAAATTGAGAGCCTCGAAGGGCTTTCCTAGCGGGTGTCCTTCCTTCCTCCAGGTGGCCAAGTTTATCGGGTCCCCACCAGGCTACATTGGCCACGAGGAGGGCGGCCAGCTGACCAAGAAGCTGAAGCAGTGCCCCAACGCCGTGGTGCTCTTCGATGAGGTGGACAAGGCCCACCCTGACGTGCTCACCATCATGCTGCAGCTGTTCGATGAGGTGAGGCCAGCTTAGGCCAGGGTGGAGCAGGGGTGCTTGGAGCTGGCGGAGGTCTGCACCTGCAGAGCCAAGGGCAGAGTCCTCTCTGCTCATTTCTCTGCATGCTGCTCCCCGGTGTGTACGTTCGTCATTCAGCAGTTGTGGTTTAGTCCCCCTCTCTGGACCAGGACCCAAGCAGGGCACTCGAGGGAAGGCCCACACTGCCCACAGGTTGAACTTTTGTGGTCGCCCAGGTTGCCCCCTAGAGAGAGAGAGAGGCAGAGGTGTCCTGAGACCTAGACGTTCCAACTCTGCTCCTCAGTCACCTCCGCAAGTCACTGCCCATCTCTAGGCTTTGGAGATCTCGTGTGACGAATAAGGAAGCTGGGCCAGATAAGCTCCCAGAACCCCCGACCCCGCTCAGATAGCTCTTGTTCCTCCCTGTGTGTCTAACCTTGTCCCCACCCGTTCCTTAAATGCCAATAATGTGCTACTACTGATGGTGAGATGGTGATACTCTGGCTCGTCCTGAGGAGCTCCTGGTCCTCACAGGCTAGATGGTGCCCCATCAGCAGGGTGAGTTCTAAATGGAGAGAAGAACTTGTTTTTCTCCTGCGCACTGGACCTGTGCTAAAGGCTGCAGATATTATCGTCAGCTGCCACAATAGCCAGGGAGAGCAGAGATTATCTTATTTTTTTACTGATGAAAAAAACGAAGTTCAGAGAGGTTATAAATGACCTCTTCCCCTCGGGCCAATCATGGCCTGCACCCCCGGGGATCACAGTATTAGGACCCAGGATTGGACTGCAGATATACCTGATCCCAGAGCCACAGTTCTCTCCCTCTGTACCTGTCCTTACCCTGAGCCAGGGAGGGATTGCTTCCTCACCTTTCCTGCTCTGCCAAAAGCACACGAGGAGCCAGGGCCTGCACTGGGGTGAAGCTTCTCTTCTCCTGTGAATGGGCTATATTAGCCAGCACCCAGCCAGGTGGAGTCCAACCCACCCTCTACTTAGCTCCCTCCAGCTCTGAGGAAGTGGGCTTGTTTCCCATGTCACATGAATACAGGGAGGGACTTGCCCCAGACTAACAGCACATTAGGTACCAAGCCAGGAAGACCCAGATCCAATTCTCCCTACCAGCTTCCCAGTGCTTCCTCAGCTGGCCCACGTCCTTGCCTCTGGCCCAGGCTTATTACTATCTTTCTAGCCCCTTGGCCACTCCCTGCCCTCCAGGGCCTACCACTGAGGAAGAAGACACCAATCCTTCAAAGGTTGCTTATCCAGTTACTCACATGTATATTCTGAGGCCTCCTACTCCATTCCAGCTTCCCGATGGCTTCAGGTGCACAGCCATGGACCAGACCCAAAGCCACCCTCTGTGAGCTCTCTGCTAGGAGACATTTAGAAAGAGACATGGTAGTAGTTGGTATCCTTGCCCTGTACTAAGGAGTTTACATGTATCAGCTCATTTAAGCCTCCCAACAACCCTTCAAAGATAAAGATAGTCATTATTATTGCCTCCACGTAACAGACGTGGGAACTGAAGGATAGTAAGATTAAGTCATTTGCCTGTGGTCACACAGCTGGGCTAGAGCTGGGGAGGCTGATCTGGAGCAGGCCATGGGATGGTGAGATCTAGCAGGTTAACTGTGAGGAAGTCAGACTCAGGCTGTAGCTTGCAGCTAGGGTCAAAAGAGAGAGGTCCGTCTGCAGTGAAGCACTCCAGGGAAGGGAGATCCCTGCTCAGTGGGGTGATCGTGGCCACCTGTTTGACCTCTGGCATCCTTGACCTCGGAAGAGAGACGGCAGTAGCTAACTGAAGTAAACCAGCCCCACCTGGAAGATCCTTAAAGCGGGTCTAAGCCCAGTCTTCCCCTCTACCCCTTCAGTCCACTGACTGCTTCTTGGGAAATTGATCATTCCTTTCTGCAGCCGCTCTTTCCCAGCCAATTACAGTTTCTGATGCTCTTGGTTCCATTGACTAAAGCTGCCATCCAAGTTTCCCTAACCAGATTTGTGCATACGTTCTGCTTCATGAGTATAGGCCCTGGCCTTGTTCACTCCAGCCGTTCCCAAAACCCAGAGTCAGGAGAATGCTTTCCTGACTAACTTAATTCAACAAGGACTCAGCAAACCACCAAAGGCTGAGGAAGTATTTTCCAGGATAGCAGAATGGAGAAGGGCCTGCAGTAGACACCAACTGTAGAGGAATAAAGGGGCACAGAACAGCCTGGGTACTTGGGGAACTCCAGCTGTATGCAGAAATTGTGGAGACAAGGTAGGGAGGTAGAGGGAGCCAGTTGAAATACCTGGCAGAGGAGTGTAGATCTGTCTGTCGGCAATGAGGAGCTGTTGAAAGACTTTCAGCAAGAAAGAAATGTCGTGAGAGTTTCACTTTGCGAAGATCCCATTGGCAGCTGTGTAGAGAATGGGCTAGAAGGGAAAAGAGAGACAGCGAGGAGACTCCAGGCTAGACCTGGGCGGTCTGATATAAAGTGGGGCCATGGAATGGAGAGAACTATCGGAAGGTTGACGGAGGAGAGAGGAAAGAGGCAGGAATGACCTGGGTGGCCAGGATGCTCTTGCAGCCGTCAGCTAAAATGGGGAGCCAGAGAATGAGCAGCAGATTAGCGAGAAGGGTGAGGCGCTAGATGTCAGAACTGCAAAACGTGAAACGCTGAGGGTCGGCCAGACGGAGATGTCCAAGTTTTGCATATCAGGAAGGGCCTGACCAAACACAGCAGTTCAGGAATCCTTCAGCACAGAGAGGGAAATGGAAACCCCGGGGATAGGTGAGACCTCTCAGCTAGGAACGGTGCAGGGAGGAAGAGAGGGCTAGGAACAGAGCCCTGGGACCCAACAGAGGAACGTCAGAGAGGGACCAGGGCGATGTGGGAGACAGAAGAAAGCATGGGGCTCATTCGTTGATCCATAAGGCACTGTGGGGTGGAGAGAAGAGAGAACTAACACAGGCTCACCTAGAGGTAATGAAGGAGTTGTGGAGATGGGCAGCGAAAGGCAGTTCCGCTCTCTGTGGAAGGTGCTACTCTAGGATGAACAGCGAGTATCAGGAGTTGTAAGGGCACCAAACCGAGTCTGAGGTGTAAGGAAGCCCCTATCCTCACCCAGCCCAGATCTCCCAGCATGGACCCAGAAAACCAAGAACCCCATTGCTGTCATCCAGACACCATGCAGGACTAATGCTGGTCGCTTACAGCCCAGGGCAGAAGTCCAGGAAGAGCCTAGTGCCCAGGGAGCCCACCTACTCCTCCCTTCATGGATTCATACAGGAGACAATGGGACAGCAGCCCCATAGCCCTGGGGTGAGCACCAGAGTCCCACCCAGGATTTGTAGCTTCTGGCTGTTGTCAGGACAGCTCCCTCTGTGGGACACATCTTTATCAGCAGGGAAGCAGAGGAGGAGATGGGAGCACTAAAGGTCACCCTTGGGGTCAGTCGTGCACTGCCCTGCTCCCCTCGCCCACCTGAGACCCATCGTCAGGCCCAGTTACGAGCAGAGCTTTGATCTCATAGAATGAAATTGCTGCTGGGTTATTGCTCTGGCTAGTCCAGCAGTGTGTCCTCGGGGAGCTCTGTGAGGTGAGTGTGGAACACAGTGTCACGTGCACGTGCTTGGACTCCTCACACATGCACACAGACCTGGTTCCCAGAACTAGAACGCCTTCAACAGGTTCTCTTATATTAGAACCCCTGAGCAGAGAGTGAGACTAAGACAGCTGAGGGCAAAAGCCCAAGAATGTCCCCTGCTCCCTTGCTTCTCTCTTTTTTACCACGAGGCAGGGACAGGAGAGTGAACAACTGCAGGGCCTGGGCCATGGCCCCTTTTGTATAGACACCTTTAGCACTGCACCTTCTCAGAGACCTGTGCCCGGGGTCCATGTGATGCCAGGAAGTGAAGCAGGTGCTCAGCCGATGTACGTTTCCTCCCCCTTTGCCTCGAAAGGGCAGCACTGGGTTTGCCATTGACTGCAGTGGCTTCAGAGGCAAGGGCTGGCCTTGAGTCAGGCCTATAGCAGCAGGGAACTGGGACATACTTGATGAAGAGGGTTCCTGACCGAGGCCGGGGCAGGGCCCAGCATCGGTGCCTGAGGGAGAAACCCGCAAGCTGGGGTCAGTGATCTAGTCCAGAGCCATGTTCTCTGGGTTGGCAGGAGCAGTGCTGTATCTGCTTCTCAGGGGAAGTCCTAGACAGCCCTCCCTCTTCCTAATACTGTGCCCACTGTTTCTCTCCAGTGAAGATCGAAGAATGCAAACTGGGGCTGTCCCATCGCTCAGTGGTGAAGCACTGTGCATAGGGAGCTGGAGGCCACATGGCTGATCACAGTTTAAATCCCAGCCCTAGCGACTTGAAAAACGTGTGCTTATGCCCAAAATCCTGACAGGAAGTCTGGAGATGGGATTCCCCACTGGGAGGATCTCTCTCTTTCTCTTTCTTACATACATTCCCTCTAGCAATTTTTTTTAAACGTAAACTGAATTTGGTAGCACTCTGAGAAAATTTTGTTGTGGACACAGAAACAGCGTAAGGGCTCATTTGTATGCAGGGTCAGTATGACCTCTAGCTGGTGCAGAAGCAAAGACCTTGCTCCAGGCCGAAAGTTCAAGTGCTGACTCTACTGCATTCTAGCTGTGAGACCTTGAACAAGGTACTAAGCCTCTCCTCGCCTCAGTGTCTTTGCAGGGGTCGGAACTGCACCTGCCTTCAAGGGTATTTGGGAGGACTGAGGCAGTCAGAAAGCAGGTGCCGAGCACCTCCTCTCACCAGACACTGCTGGGCACAGTGGTGACCCAGACTCAGCCCTGCCCTTGTGGAGCCGCTTTCTACTGGACGGAGTGAAATGGTGAAGGATAGCACAGCGGAGCGCTGCGGTGCAAGCAGAAAGGCCTTGTCCTGCTCAGTGTTCACCGCTGTCACGCAGTCACTTCCTCTCCGGAGCCCGACGGTTGCTCTGGTTATGGATGAGTGGAGTGCTGTTGTGTGGGCAGAGTGCTGTCCCTGGGACTAAGTGACCCTCGAGCACTGTACTTTCCTACCTCTGCTTTTTGCTCCTCTTCTCTCCCTGGTGTACTTGTCTCCACATTCGGTGCCTTCTTCTAGGTCACTTGTAGAAAGAGGTAAAGATTCCAAGGAAACTTCATACGGTCGTGAAAGGGGGAGCTCTATTTTCCGTCCTTCTCTATCAGGCCAGAGGATGGCTCCCAGGATGTAGAGAGAGTGGCCGTTTCCACGCACTGTATCTCGTCCTCTACCATAGTAGCAGCTCTGCACACCTGCACACACGGCTAACTAAGGGTCAGTCCCGGTGTGACCACATCTGCCCCATAAACACCCTCTGAACTTCCCTTTATCCTCACACTTAATGCTCCGAATTGCCCTCACTTCTTTCCTGTTCTCACTGCTCCTCTGGACTGAGACTGTGACAGAGGCTCAGTGGGCCCCCACTACCCCACCCGGAGGGAAACTCCAAGAAGGCCTGTTGGAGGGATGACCCCTGGATGCCAAGGGTACTTAGGTGCCTGGAGCAGCCCAGTCTCACTGGAGGCACCCCCAGGAAGTAGAGCAGTTGCATCCCAGGACAGAGCCCTGCAGCCAAGGTGCAGTCCTTGGGCTCAGAAGCCCCCAAGGAGGTGAGCACTGACACCTGCCCATGCTATGGCTCCCTGACCAAACAGTGCCTTTCCTTCCCAGGGCCGGCTGACAGATGGAAAGGGGAAGACCATCGACTGCAAGGATGCCATTTTCATCATGACCTCCAACGTAGCCAGCGACGAGATTGCAGAGCACGCGCTACAGCTACGGCAGGAAGCCCTGGAGATGAGCCATAACCGCATTGCCGAAAACCTCGGTATGGCACATGACCCAGCTGTCAGGACCGCTGGCCAGACCATCAGCATATCTCCTGGGGCGGGGATGGGACTGGGGTCCTAGGCCAGGCAAAGGGCCTGGTAGGCAGCCTGCTCCCAGCTGACACTAAGCAGATCCCAGCTACCACACAGATAGTGGAAGGGGGCAAATGAGACACTGATCCCACTTCCTCAAGCAAGCACCACGTCTGCTTGCGACAGAAGGGCTCCAAACAGAGGGACAGATAGAGCCACCTCAGAGTGAGGGGCCAGGAGGTGGCCAGGGCCTTATGGGACTAAAGAGAGGCACGGTCACCTGATAGAGACACTTTGGTGCAATGAAGGAACTGCAGATTGGAATTGACACAGAAATGGACACAGCCTGTTCCCCCAGGCGGCTTCCTACAAAGGTAGGCCTGGAGAGTGCAAGAAAGGAGGAGTGCATCAGGCGAGGCTGTGTCTGTCAGCCTTCTGCTCAAGATCAAGCCCTGCAGCCCCCAGCCTCCAAGTCAGGACTCCAACCTTCACCCTGGCTCTTCTCTTCTGTCCTCTCTCATGCACAACTTGCACCGGAAGGAACCGTGGACTTTGCAGCACAAGACATGGAAGGGCCCCAGAAAGTCCCTAGTCAGGCAAGGAGGCCAGGCCAAGGCCCAAGGAGCCTTAAACACTAATGGAAATCACCCAGACAGGGGCAGGACCAGGGTTCTTCGGGGCAAGCACAGCCCCAGAGGCCCCTAATGTGGGGGTTCTGTCTTGACAGGGGATGTCCAGATCAGTGACAAGATCACCATCTCAAAGAACTTCAAGGAGAACGTGATCCGCCCCATCCTGAAAGTGAGAGGTCTTTCTTGACACTTTCTGTTGGAGCCTAGAGTTGGGGGAGGAGTGCCTTAGTATCTGAGATTGGGGGTGCTCCCTCACTTCCCCATTGGGGTCCACTGACTCCCCTTCCTACCTCTGGGTCACTAAGCTAAGTACCCCCAACCTGGTCCCACAGGCTCACTTCCGGAGGGATGAGTTTCTGGGCCGGATCAATGAGATTGTCTACTTCCTCCCCTTCTGCCACTCCGAGCTCATCCAACTAGTCAACAAAGAACTAAACTTCTGGGCAAAGAGGGTAAGAGGGGACTGCCCATGGGTGGGAATAGACATCTGCCTGCTG